CGTGGGCTTTATTAGACCCTTCAGACTTTACCTAATTTTGGCGTTGTTCCCTTGTCATTACATCACGGATGTGAAGTGGAGACGGGGTCATTCTCTCCTATGTTGTGGTCATGTAAAGGATTCACGTGGTTTTGGTAGAGGGAGGGCTGCGTTTGAACAGGTTCCAACTATTTTAAGCACCCTTGGCCATGCCGGGGTTCCCACCAGAAGATTTGGTCTGACCGAGAGAGTAAATTTTACTCTCCTGTCAGATGCGATATATGCTGTCAACTTTGGAAGTGGACTTTGTCTTGGTTCACAGCATCAGAATTACTCAACTGGAAAGCCGCTCTCTGTCACAAATGCTGCTGCGGTCCTGCGATCTGTACTTCTTTCTTCTTCATTAACTGGAAACGGTTTAAAGTGCTGAGAACGGTTTCCCTGAATTTGTAATTGCATCAGGAAAAAAGCAACAAAATCTGGGTCCCCTTGGAGAGCCTTTTCCCCAGGAAATCTGTTTTGGCCGGCCTGCTTCAAGATGCTGGTGGGCAGCAGCTGGAGTTTCTTTTTCTCCGCTTCTCCTTTTGCAGGATTTATACCAATAAATAAATAAATAAAAATTAAAAAAATAAAGCAATGGTGGATAGACGGTATCCAGTCCTTTTGCACCTTCTTTGTGTTTTCCCCTTTATCTCTTCGTTTATCTGAAGCTGGCTGGCGCGTAGGCTTTTGTGATAGGTACATGTAAACCTCACACTTCTCAGGTGCCCTCTTTCTCCTTTCTTTCCCTGTGCTTTTCTGGCTCCCGTCCTCCCACTCCCAGGAAATATTTGAAAGATAATTTGGCATATTTTCTGCCACCTTCACCTATCTCCCTGACTTCATGTTTTCTTAGCTGGAAGATAGCTTTTCAACATATATATGTAATCCTTTTCACCTAGACATGTGAGGAATTCCAATCTCCTCCAGTGGGAGTTTTCAGGAAGGTTTAGGTTAAATGGGCCAATAAGGCAAAAGCGTGTACCAGAAGATCTCACCCTTTAAAGACATCTTTTCTCTTTAGCCCTTTTTTTTTCTTTTTTCCCCCTGGAAAATCTATCAGAATATCTAGCTGTCAAAGAATTTAAACAATAATACCTGATCTGAAGGCTGGAGTGCAGGGCTTTTGAAAATAAAGATCATAATCTCTCTACGGTGTATCCAGCGACAAATGGAGCTGGAAGTCAGGTGTCCTGAGCAGCAGACTGCTGTGGGGACGCTGCTCCAGCTTGGTGGGACTTATTTTACCTGAGCTCTCAGTGAAAATTCCCTTGGATTTTCCCTGGAGTTTTCATTGTGGCTGTAGCATCTTTTTCCAAGGGCATGTAGGGATAGGACGAGGGGGAGATTTAGATTAAAAATTAGGAAGGAATTTTTCCCTGTGCGGGTGGTGATCCCCTGGCGCAGGTTGCCCTGAGAAGCTGTGGCTGCCCCATCCCTGGAGGTGTTCAAGGCCAGGTTGGACGGAGCTTGGAGCAACCTGGGCTGGGGGGAGGTGTCCCTCCCAGGGCAAGGGGTGGGGACTGGGTGATCTTCAAGGTCCCTTCCAACCCAAACCATTCTATGATCATAGAGACAAATGAGAGAGCAAGCCAAGCTCTGCTTGGTGGTGACCGAGCTCTTCTCCTGCTGCGAGTGAGTGGGGTGGGAGACCTCAGCAGCTCCTTTCTGCTGGGTCAACCTCCATCCCCCAGAAACTCTTGTTGCAGCATTCAGGACTAGGATTTATCCCAGCTGAATTTTGGCTGACTCGGTGTGTTGTCCAAGGTCCCTGTCTTGGCTCCTGAGAGAATTTTGGGAGATGCCTGTTGTAAAAAGGAGAATCAGCCCTAAGGGCAACCCAACCCTAAAGCCACACATATATCTCTTTTGTAGGAAAAGAGATCAAGGATCCCTAGAAATAAGAACGTGTTTCCAGCATCTTATCCCTAGAAATAAGAACGTATTTCCAGCACCTTAAGACTCAGATTTTTCAGAAGTGGGTGCTTAGGGGTGGCCTTAGCCTGTCCTTGGGCAGCTGGGATCACCGTGGGGAGCAGCCAGCCTCTGCTGACCCTCCTCTGCTCCCCTCTGCTCAGCATTGGGTGCAGAATGATCCCTGGGGCTCGCCAGCCTCCGTGGGGCGCCGGGGCATGTGTGCTGGTGTCTTTGCTGGTGCGGGTGTCGCAGTGGGTGCTTGCCCATCTGCTGCTGCTGGGTCTGTGCTGTGGCACAAGCCTGGGAGGGATCTCAGCGCCGGTGTAACCTTCGCAGCCCGCAGGAAAGGTGACTTCCATTTAGTTCTAAATTATGACATTATTTTATGAGATCTTTAAACTTTATTTAAATTTTTTATTTAAAAAGGGGGAGGAAGGTATCATATTTTAATTAGTAGCGGTGTCAAAGGAGACCTAGATTAATTATTTGAAATCACTCCATCCAGATGGTTTTAATTTTCACAGCAGGGAACCGGCATCTTTTTAAGGTGATATTTTTCAAATTAAAATCAGCTTGGATATTACTCATACTGGCTGCAGAGCGAGGGGGTGGGGAACGCGAGCTGGCGTGCCCCGTGTTTGTCCGTCTGAGCGCGGGCTGCCGGGGGGAACCTGTGTCAGAGGGGAGCGGGTTTGCCGGCAGCGGGGCAGGACCGCCGGCCGAGGCTCTCGCATTGGAGTGCTTTATCAACTCTAGCTCCTATTTTGGCTGGCCAAAAGCCCTGTCTGAGATTCAGCGTTATTCTCAGCAGCTTTAGTCGTGGGGCTGAGGCTGGAATGGCCGGGGAATGCCTTGCAGCTTAGATGGGAACTTGCCACATCCTGTTCTTCTTGCAAGCCCTCGCTTGACCCCTTCGGTGGGTGCCCCCGGGTCCGTTTGCGTGCTTGGGTGGGTTCGACGCTGTAGATCTATGGGCGCCTCCTCGGCGCTCTGGCTGTTGGCTGAGGTTCTTGGGCCAATCTTTGGGACCTCTTGTTCTGGCTCTGTAACCTTCCCTCGTGTGCGGGCTGCTGCTCGCCCCGTCTGAGGCCGACCACTGCTCCTCTCCAATGCCCTTGCTCCTTGGAGGGGAAGACCTTTCCCAGTCACCTCTTTAAAGATAGTCCCACCTCTGGCTATTCCCTGGTTCATTAACGCTACGTTGCTTCTGAGCAGCTTCCCTGAACTTGTTGAAGCAGTGGACATTCTCCAAATTACGCACCATGTTGCTCATCTTCCTCTTGAAGACCCATCTTTGACCCTGTGCTGTCCTCCCCCATCCTGGCTCTGCTCGTCTTCATATCCTGACTACGATGGGATATTTCTGGCTCGCGTGGCCCTTCCTCACTGACGTGTGCTTCCATACCACCTTGGGAGGTGCGGAGGGAAAGCGCAAGCTGCTCTCCACCGCAGATGCCCAAAAAAGTGGTGCGTTTCTGAAAGACCTCAATGAATATCCATATTTATGCATGATTTCGAGCAATATTCTGCCGTAATACAGGCAGCATCCCACTTGCTGTCAGAAAGAAGTTATTCTTTAAATATCCCCTGTGACAACAAGTTTAACAAATATATCTAAATAAATGTAAACAGGTAGTAACTGGAAAACCCTGAACTTGCATATGTGACTGAGCTGCAAAGGGAAAACTCTGTTTAGGGCCCTTGTGAGTTAAACATTTGTGATATTTGCACTGCTGCAGAAGCCAAAAGCTGACTTTACAAGTGGGAAAAATATTAATGTGTTTAAATGAAGCAAACTCCTATTTCTATCCCCATGGTAAATCCTTACAGCGAACATATTTGCTCTGAGAGGGTTTTAAAGTTTGAAATAGGAATGCCAAAAAGAATGTGACTTTCTGCAGCACAGATCAAACATTCTCCAGAGTTTGGCAAAAGCCGTGTTTCTCCGGTAAGGCTCGGGTCTTACAAGCGTGAGTATTTCCAGAGCAGGACCGTGGATTTGCACTTGCTGACACTTACACATTCTTGCATTGTGTTTTGACCATGTCTCCTTTCTCCCCCCTCCGTATCGGAGATGGATCTGAACCAAAATGTCCAGCCTTGCCCGTTCCTGCCTCCCCAGGGAAATTCCTGGAATCCGAACCTCGAGCATGACTGGAATTTGTGTTTAGATCAGAGATGGAAAAAAAAAAACCCACGCTGAATTTGGATGTGTCTATGTTTTCAAGATGATGATGGCATGCTACACATCTGGGTGGCAGCTTGGCCACTTCTGCAGATACAACTGTGCTGGGGCAGGTGGTTTATGAAGATGCAGCATGTCCTCGACCATGGCTCCTGGCAGCGCTGTGAACCACTCCTGGCCTCAATAAACATGCGAGGCACAATGAGATTGGCCATATTTCGCCCAGCTAGAGCAGGAGTCGCAGACCTGGTCCGCCAGAAAGCAATCAGCCACCTCCTGGGAACATAGCTAGACTCACAGAGGACATCTGCAGGGTGGGCGTTCATCAGAGAGAACGAGCAGTCCTGAATTTCTCCCCTGCTAGTTGTTGCGGTGATCTTCAGGAGATCACTGTGATGTTTTGCACCACGAGCATGTGGCCGAACCACTTCTGTGAAGTGTTTGAGGGCTGCTGGCTGCGGGGAAAGGATTTTCGATCTTGTCGTGCTAATCTTTTATTTTCATGAGAAGAAAAATCCATGTTCCTACCCTTTGAGAACCCACCTGCAGCGTGAAGGGACAGCGTCTAGGGGATGGGGGGTGGAGTTGGTGTGGACTGATGGAGCACACACACACACGTTTGGGTGTGTTTTGTGATAAACTGGCACTAAATCTGGAGCATCTGCATAGAAGGATGTGTCAGACCTGCACTTGTGACCGAGCCTGGAGCTCAGCCCCTGGGTGGTTCCTTGGGTCGTTCCCTCGCAGAGCATCCCAGCCTGGTGTGGGTCAGGTAGAGGTGATGGGACAAGGCGCTGATGAGCTTTGCACGCTCTGATTTAATGGGACCACACTGGTAACCGCTTTTTTTTTTTTTTTTTTCTTCTTCTTCCTTTACAAGCCCAGCTTCTAGTGGAAACAGACACTTTTGGCAGTCAAGTCCGGATCAAAGGGAAGGAGACAGACTTCTACCTTTGCATGAACAGGAAAGGCAAGCTAGTGGGGAAGGTAAGTGTTTCCCATTAATTCATTTGTAACATGAGTGTTACCTTTAGCAGCCTCCGCGAGGCTGTAATGATGTGTCCGAGCTTGGCCTGTCAGCCTCAAATGAAAAGCAGGACGGAGGGGACGTGGGGTTGCCAAGCCCTCCGTAAAACTGAGCTCTGGCGTCTGCCGGTGATGCTTCGGATGCGGATGGGTTTGCGTTGAGTTGACGTGAGATGCCATCTCGGCATCCCGGTGCCACCTCCGCGATAACTTCCTTACCCGATCTCTCTTTGGGGGGAAATTCCAGATAAAAGGGGCAAGCGGAGCAGCGTGCCGGGGAGGGAGGCAACGTAAGGCTGCTTTGGGTGGTGAGCCAGGGGATGGGGTAGCAGAGCTCGTACTGGAATCCGAACGTCGTACTGGGGCTGGGCCTCACGGTTCTAGCGTTACAGCCATCTTTTATTACTTTGGATCCCCGCACAATGGAAGCATGTAACAAATTACTGCGTGCTCACCCGTCTAGCTTAACTTCTTTGCTGAAGTCATATTTTTTTTATGTATTAACTTGTTTTTGTAACTTAGGTGGTTCTTCTGTATCATTGGCGAACCTAGAAGCTTGCTAACCAGGCGGGAGCTCGCTCAAAGCTAAAATATCACCAAAAAAATTAATGTAAAATAAAATATCTCAGCCCTCGAAGGCCCCCTCCTCCGCTGCCCACGCTTTGCGCCGCCAGGAATTGAAATCTGGCATCTCTGTGGCTGTGAAAAAGGGGAAGCTGAGTTTTCTTTTGAGTTGATGCAGTGAAAGCCACGCTCCCAACCAGAAACCAGAAACCCAATTGCTCTGGCGAAACATTACTTAGTTTTGTGGTCCCGAGAGTGACACTTGCGGGACCAGTGCCATCCCTGGAGGGTCCCTCCTGCCCCTTTTGTTTTCCTTGCGACACACACACACGTGGGAATCAGTGCTGCGGGAGGACCGGACCAAAGCAGCGGTTCTCTCCGCTTCCTGCGCTTCTGCGGTGCAATTACTGCTCTGCATGGGGCACCCTTGTTTGATCTCAGACAAGGAAATTTGTTTTTTTTTAACTGGACTTGGGCCTCTCAGGGTACACATGGATGATTTTGAATATTGCACTGAACACACCTGGCCCTTGGATTTGTGGGGTTTTTTTGTTTTGTTTTTTTCCTTAATTTTCTGTCCTTTAAATGTGATAATAACATTTTTCCCTGCAATGTTATAAGGATAATTTTGTTAATGCTTATGAGGTGCTGATACCAGAGTAATGGAGACCTTAGAAGCATCCACGTTAGATGGGGTGAAAAGAGCATGAAATCTTACCTTTTTCTTTAACAGACCTTACCCAGGGTGGATATGTGGCGGCACACAGTGTGACCCACATCCGTTCCTGATCTGTGCTGACTGTCCAGGAGCATCCTGGCAAAGTCAGAGGCTGTTTTTCAAAACGTATAGTATATTTTGGCATGATTCATCCTTCAATTTGGCCCATCAGGCACCAAAGCAGGACAGTTCTTTAGCTTGTTACCTTTCATACAGCGTACAGCTTTTGTGTTTGTTTGGGTTTTTTTCTTGATGTGCTTTTCATAACAAGTTGGCAAATGGTTTGTTATTAAAAATAAATAAATAAATAAACCTATTCTTGTAAATATGAGCCTTCCCACCCCAGACTGCTGACAAGTTCATAAACCAGCCGACCTGAGCAGGAGGGGGTACGGAGAGTGGCGTTTGGAAGGAAAATGTTCCAGATGCATTGCCCATATTAACAGCTTCTCATGAGGAAAAAAAAAAAAAAAAAAGAAAATAATAGCATGTCTTCTTGATACCAAAGAGTGTGGTTTTAATTAGTATCATAGTTTCAGCTCTTTTTGTGGCAAGAGTTTGAGGGAATGCTTTTTAGCCCGAATGCTCTAAACAGCTAGTAAACCCCAAGGAAAACATTAGATAAAAGTTACGCCTGGGCTTATACAAATATTTAAGTTCAGTCTGGGGGTGGAGGGGAATGAAACCCATAAACTGATTGTTTCACGGTCGCCCCGGTATGTTCGTTTGGCAAGAGAGGAGCCGTGGGACCAACCCGGGTCTTTTTCTCTGCTCGTTTCCTATTGCCTTACACTGCATAATCCCTGACAATACCGGCATATGCCATCTGGCTTTGTTCTCCGCCTCAGTCAGCAGTTTTGGATGCCCCCCAGTTGAAAACCTGCTTTGAATTTAGTCCTTTTTGTTTCCCATAATCACCTACAAAGGGTATTACGGACCGGAGCAGGTTGTTGTTCTTCTCAGCTGGAACTGGTGACGCGTGCTCGTGTCCCACCTTGGGGCCGCTTGAGTTGGAGGCCAACGGAATAATCCATGGGGCTGAGAGGAGCGGCCTGATGGAGAAGGCCATCTGATGGAGCTTTCTCAGGAGCCCCAGACCTTGCCTTCGCTCCCTCGCCTGGTTGTTACCGCAGGTGTGTTCCCGGCCAATGTTGGCCAAAGGGCTTGGAGGTGTTTTGGGCAGGATTCTAACTTTATTGTCACAGCATGTGGCTGCTGAGGTCACCCACGCTCTACGTGCTGCTTATGGAAACTGGAGACAGGGCAGGTGGTGTACAGGGAGTCACTTTTTTGCTAAAGGTGACCGGCACTGGGGGGGAAACAAATTGGATTGTGTTTCTTTGTCGATTCTTGCTGTTAGGTTGAAGAATGTACGAAAAAGATTTCATTTTATCTTTTTCCTTCTGACCATATTTTTTTTTGCCTGGGGGATTTTGATACCCCTCTGTATACACATGTAGAAATGGTAGGTCCTGAGTTTTCTGATTTTGCTGAATTTTTCGATGGACCACTGAACTTTACGGTGGAGTTATATTACAAGGAGAGAGATTAAAATATGAAAACTGAGAACAGGAATACTAGATGCTTTTGTTAAAAACTTCTTTTCGTCTTTTTAAAAAATAATTCTTACCATTTATCTCAAGCTTCCTACAAACACGGGGCAGAGGGAGACTCTGAAAGGTTCAGCTCTTCTTCCAAGGAGAAGCGCAATGTGACTTGCCCACTTGTGACAAGGCACAGTGTGACGAGGTCACCTAGAACGCAAGAACTCTGACCATTTGCAATAATTTGATGTTAGGGAAGAAGAGGAGCTAGTGGTCTCTTTGGAGGAGCTCTGAGTTTCTGACTGGTTCTCCTGGTGAGTGGTCCTGTGGTTTTTCTCTCTGCCTCAGCATCTCTTATCTTGTGCCTTGAGATAAGCACGTCACTATAGTGGGGATTTCATGTTTGTAAAAAGGCTGTCAAAGATACATCTTTTAAGTCTCCAGAGCAAAGAATAGCAGCCCGGGGTGTGAGCAGGTGGCTGTTAATTAGCTTGGCCACCTCTAACTGCTCTGGCTGCGCCTGTCCTTACAGCAAATTTGTGCTATCTAGACTTGCGGGACGCTGTGGAGATTTCCTTTCCGTGCCCCGTTCCAGTCCCTTCGCCAGGAGAGCGTTTGCAAGAGGTCACTGATCTCTGTGAAGCTTAGACGGGATCTGTCAGCACCATTACAAGCTGCCCGAAGCCCTGCCCCTTCCTTCAGGCATGGCTGGGGCTAGTGGCTGCTACATGGACATCAGAGCATCTCCTGCTCCCCAGGTGCTGATGCCAGGGAATTTCCCGTGGTTCTCCACCAGCCGCCTGTGGGAACACACGGTCTGGTCGGCACTGGTGCTCAGGTCACGGCAGGTATCCATAAGGGAAGCGTTTTGCACTCCCAGCTATAAAAGGTGAGGAGAGAGCAGGCCTGTTTTTGTGCACTGCCCGAGGGCAGAGGAGAATGGATCTTGGCTTCCCGCAAAGCTGCCAAGTGGGAGGAGGTGCTGCTTGTTGCAGACCATAGCGAGGGAGACATTATTTTTCAGGGCAAGATATAGAATCCGGCAAGGTAAATAACGACTGGAAGGAATCCAGAAGATTTGAGAAGAATGGGGAAAGAGCCAAGTACGTCTTCGATTTGATCCAGAAAGTTCTTCAGAAGGTGCTCCAAGCAATCCCACTAATGTTCTTTCATGGCATTAGGTGGATTACGTCTTTTCCAGACCCAGCAGCAGTATTGTTCACTGTTGGTTCTCTCTGTTCTCTGTTGGTTTCATTTTGAGAACAGCTCCATCTCGCAGTGCGTGAAGTCACTCCTTGAGCTCTTCCAGGAAGGAGAAGCGGGTGGTGGGCGCTGAAGCCGTCTCCTCAGGGTGGGATGGGACTTGCAGTGCAGGTGGAGTCGGAACAGCGTAGTGACTGTCAGTTGTGTGCTGTGCTCCCGTGGGATGCTGCCATAATGCGGCTGTAATCTTGACACTGTGAGCCTGCAGGGAACTCCCGCCCCACTGTATGTGAGGGTGAGTCCTTCTTCTGAGGTAGGATGTGGCTATGGAGAAAACTCCAGAAATGGGGGCAGAGTTAGAAAAGCGATAGACAGAATGGGGTCTATCACAGGTCTCATCTCTGCCAGCTCTACAGAGAGTGACAGCAGTGAAATTTTATCCCAAGAAGTCCCTGCTCGTTACATCAGTTCAGCCCCTTCTATGGACTCAAGCCTGAGAGCATGTGTTACTATAAACTGGGTGACGTCCCACTAAATCCACATGCTGACTTGCACTGTCTCTCTTTGGGTATGCTTTCAAAAATCCTCAGTGAGCTGGTGTACACACACTCTCAGAAAATACTGTGACTTATATGCGTTATTTTTGACAAAGCATTTTAATGAGTTTGGTTCTATTTCTCCTTTCTCTATGCTTAATGTGAACAGTGGGGAAAAGCTGTCGACTGAAGGGTAGGAACCCCTTGGCCCTTTGGGGTGGCTGAGGTATTGCTTCAGCTCCGTGGCAGGTACCTCGGGTGCTTTCTGGGGACGGCTTTGCTGACACTGTGTCTGCAGCGCTGAAGCCCTCCCGGCGCTCACAAAGCACGGACAGGCGGTGCCGAGATTGTGCCCTCCAGCACGGTCCAGGTCCAGAAGAAAAGCTCTGCCAGCCA